CTAACGGAGTTGGTGGTTTCTGTGCTGGACGCATTCATTGGTCTGGAAGACATGGAGATGACTTTGTTATAGCACTCTTAATGGAGTATGCTGGTTCTTCCTGAAAACATTAAATTTCTTTATTTTTTATTTCACAAAGTAGTAAACAGACTTTTGCTTAAACAACAAAACTGTGACTTATATTACTCAGCCCCTGAACATATATTATTTAAAAAGGCGCAGTACTAGAAAAGAAGGAAAACATGAGTTGGAGACAAATTTTTCCCTTTCTAAGAATGCTAGACTAGATACTAGGAATGCAGTCTTGTGATTCTGATAAATTACCGGTGTTAGTTTACTTTTCATATGTCTACCTGCACTATTGATACTATATTTCTGTGCATGTGAATATATTTCAACAGTCTATGAGTACTTGATATTCTGATTTATAACTGACTTAATAAAAAGACTAAATGAGGACACCTAAGAATCTAAGGGTAGTGCCATGACAGGACACAAACTAATATTTATTTTCATTTTCAGTTCCTCCAGGTTACTCATGGTGTTTTAAAGTAACCTAAAAAAACCTCTATCATTCCAGGATTTATTCATTTTTTTAATGATACTTAAGTATTCATACCAGTGTTTAGTATTAAAATGCTTCCTTTACTTTTTTGGCAACTGAATGCACTATATATTGTGAGAAAGAGCCCTATACCTTGGCCTCTAAGTTGCTCTGGCTAAATATTTTGATGTGTTTCTGTGTCGATATATGTACCACATATGTATGCCCGTAATGGCAATTGACCTGAGGGAAAGCAGCTAGTTTGAGTCACAGTGACCAAGTTCATTGTCCCTATACTTATACCCGTGGTCAAGTTGGCTGTAAGAAAATTGGAAAAATAGGTTTCATACTTTTGTAAGAATTTCCATAGTATTTTTTTTTACCTCCTTCCCACCCCGTCCTTTCCCACATGTTCTTTTTTTCTCTCTTTTAGACAGAACTTTCATATCTTTTTACATCTCACTAAGCCCCATCTAGGCCTTTCATGTCTGGGCAAATCAGAAACAATGAGCTTTGCACTTCTCTCTGGGTACTTCCATCCCAAGTAGTTGTTCCTAAATCAAAACTCAGTTCTCCTGTTTCCTCAGTACCTTTACTCTGACCTTTTGCATTAAGCAAGGTAATTCATTCAAAAATACTTACTATACTTCTTCATTGTATCAAGTTGTCTTTTAAGTGTTGAAGAAACAGCTGTGGGTATGCCAGATCTTGCACTTATGGAACTTATAATCAAGAGATTAACAATATATTTTAATACATTTTTTGCTGAATTTTTTTTGTTTTATTCTCCTGGAAGTATTTTTTACATTTTATAAGGAATAATCTAATAAATCAAAGAAGACTTTTCAAGGTAGAAATCCAAGACTCTAAGTCAGGGAAATCCTGGACTTACTTGTGTAAAGGTCAGACCACATAGATGGCTGACTCTTTTATTTGACCGTTGAGATGGCATCTAGATCGGAAGGACTACTATTTATAGATTCTTTATGCCCTGTAATTGTATATATGGTTGTAGAAGGTCAGGTCAGCCAAATCCTTGGCTCTATTGGTTTTCTAAAACACTTTATTAATATTTTTAAGAACAGAATTTACTCATTTACACAGGGATTTTGAGAAATCATGTCCCTGAATTCCTTTTTGAAAGATTTTTTATTATTATCATTGAAGTATAGTTGACATACAACGTTCTATTAATTTCAGGTATACAACATAGTGATTTGATAATTTTATACATATTGGAATGCTTGCCACGATAAGTGTAGTTACCATGTTACCAAATATGTTATAATATTATTGAGGATATTTTCCACATTGTACTTTTTTATATTCCAATGGATTGTCCTTTTGTCCTTTAGGCATTCCTGTGGTCCTGTTTACTCAGCACCCTAGTGTCATCATCTCAGTTTAATTATTCAGAGGTAGGTCATTGACAAAGGATTTGTTTCAAATCATTATTGACCCTTAGCCGCCTTATTTTAGAATATTTCCTGGAGATAGTAATTGTCCAAAGCCAGAGTTTAGGGTACATCCTGTATGATTAACAAAAATAACAATAAAAACTCAACATGCTGGAAACTTTTGTTACTTCAAAAAGAATCCCCATTAAACCAGGGCTTATTGATGTGATGGGACTGAAAAGTAATAAATGGGTTTTGGAAAGAAGATATCACTGGAGAGAGAAATTTGCCATATTTATTCACCAAGCAACAAAAATCATCAAAATAAATCCTTCTCCAGCAATTGTCAGTTAATATACCTCTTCACTTAAAATCCTAAGCCCTTGTATGTATCTCTTATTTATCTTTTAGAGTGATACACAAACTAAGTGAAAAATATTCCCCAGAATTCAGGGAAACAAGAAGGAAGTTAATATTTTTAGGTTTTATTTATTTGTCAGCATTTCAGTCTAATGAAATATTTTCAGCTTTTTTAAAGATAAAAAATTTCTTATGAAATTATTTTTGCAAAAACTTTGAGTACATGTGGCTCACATGTTAGACAATTTCCACTTACTCCTTGGATGAATGCTGAGAAGAGGGTCAGAGACCAGACATAAAATATTACTCCATGGAGCAACAGGCATGTGAAGGACTTCCAAGAAATTGGATGATCCAGTTTGTAATCTCTCATGGATTGCAAAGAGTAAGCCCTACAAGATACTTTTTCTCTAGTTTGAAAGCACATGTTTATGGTAAAAATGAAAGCCCAGAAGAAGGTATTATATATGTCTACTTTCTTGCATCATGACCTTTCGGGATTTGGGATTTATCCTCTTGACGATTTGATAGTATTTGTTCAAAAGAGGAGATAATTTTTGAATTTTCACTTATTTATAATTAAACACCAAGTCTTAGTATTCCACAAGGAATAGTGAAGATAAAGAATCAATTCTATCTTTTCTTTTTTCTCTAGTAGTCATATATCATTGAAGGTTTTTGGGGAATAATTAGTCATAATAGGGATTGTTATAATAGCTGTAATAGCAAGCTCATAGGAATCCCTTTGTCTATTTTGAAGAAGAAGAAATCATTCTTTGACCACCAAATGTCGGTACTTAGGTAGTTTGTTAGAGATATCTGAGGTGCATTTTATTTATTTTATTTTTAAATATGAAATTTATTGTTGAGTTGGTTTCCATACAACACCCAGTGCTCATCCCAACAGGTGCCCTCCTCAATGCCCATCACCCACTTTCTCCTCCCCCCCACGCCCCATCAACCCTCAGTTCTCAGTTTTTAAGTCTCTTATGTTTTGGCTCCCTCCCTCTCTAATTTTTTTTCCTTCCCCTCCCCCATGGTCTTCTGTTAAGTTTCTCAGGATCCACAAAAGAGTGAACACATATGGTATCTGTCTTTCTCTGTGTGAATTATTTCACTTAGCATAACACTCTCCAGTTCCATCCATGTTGCTACAAAGGGCCATATTTCATTCTTTCTCATTGCTGCGTAGTACTCCATTGTGTATATAAACCACAATTTCTTATCCATTCATCAGTTGATGGACATTTAGGCTCTTTCCATAATTTGGCTATTGTTGAAAGTGCT